TCTATCTATCTATCTATCTAGATTAAACTGGCTGCATGACAGGATTATTAGATTCACTCTGTTTTTAAACCATGGAGAAGATTACTGTTACCTGTTCTCTCTTGAATCTGTGCACGCTGCGGCAGGGCACAAATTGGACCTCAGACATAACAGATATTTGAATTTATTGAAAAGATAGCCTATTCAGACGCAACATCTCTCATGAGAGATACAGTATATACTGTCACATTAAGGATTAATGCATCAATGATTCAACTGAAAGGTGCCGCCATTGTTTAATTTAAATGTTTCACCTCTGGTCTTGTGCATTTTAGACAAATTACTGAAAGGTTAGTCAGAATGGGTTTGGATCAGAGGTCAATGATCAAATTCATCCCCTTCTACACAACAGATAAAATCACAAAGTGGCAGGTTTTGCAAGGCAAGGCAGGTTTATTTGTTCGGCTATATAATTACAAGTATATATACTCAGTGTGTTTTACATTAAAATGCATGTCCAAAGAAATGGTGTTTATAAAAACTTTAAACGACTGCCGGATATAATGCTAAGCTATTTTACTGGAATAGTTGTGAACGCAGCATTATATGTAAGAAAGTTAAGAGAGCAATAGGAGGTTAGTCAGTTGGTATACTATCTACTTTTGATGCAAGCTGTGTGTGTGACTGCGTAATGTATGTATTTGTAGTGTCAAACTGTTGTATTCTTCATGTATGTATTGTTGATGGGAAACAAGAAAACAACAATAAACATATTGTGGGGAAAGAGAGATTAGTCAGGAGTCATTCTGGATCAGAGGTTGATGAGAGGATTCATTCCCTTCTCCTCAACAGATCAGGTTTAAAACAACGAGATATAAATCCAAGATACTAGAGTAGTTACTACGGAAACATACTATATGTATTGTATATGAATTCTGATGAGAAACTCGATAAGGGAACATGTTGACAGGTTGATCAATATTGGCACTGCATTGAAAGCAGCTACCTTCCAAATGAGGCAGCATTGTAAACAATATATGCAGTCTTCTTATAGTAGGCCATAACTCACTGTAGAGGCTGTAATAGGAACACAATTTAGTTAATGTCACTTGAATAGATTTTATGCCAAATAAAATCCAAATGTGCAACCGGCATTACAGGAAAATAAAAACATGCTGCATGAAATTTTCATTTTTGGTAATTCACCTTTTATTGCTTTTCAAAATAACAATAAATACAGAACAAAGATCATGGATAGAATAACAATGAAACTAAAAATATAACAAGGGAAAAAAGATTTGAAGAGGTAAAAAATAATACAATAATACATTAAAAAAATTCAAATATATATATACAGGGTAAGCATTGGCATTATCATGTTGCTGTCACTCACATATCATTGTGACAATTATGTACATGGTAAATATAATTAACATGCTACATTAAAGTGATAGTAATAACCAAAGCTAGTACTCCCTAGTTAGCCATCCAATATTGCGATCACGTAGGGGGCCCCACAATTTCAAAAATAATGCTTGTCTGTTGTTCAACTTAAAAAATGATTGTTCATAATTGGCTATTTTGCTCATTTCTATCAGCAAGGGATGATATTTTTTGTTGTTTGTCAGTGCCTGAGCATGTGAAACATTGTCATCAATATCGAACAGAACAGAACAGAATACAACTTTATCTTTATCGTGATATTACGGGTCATCTGGCAAATACTTAGGTTAAACATTAAGACACATAACACTGACAGTATGAGTAATAAAACACAATTTACAAAATGTTAGAAATACACCTATAGAATAAAAAGATTCCTGTACAGTAACATGTTATGTTCAGATTACATGATGAAATAAAAAAATATTCAATGCACACTACAGTATTAAATTCAAAACATTAATTTAAACGTTACAGTTGTTATTTTAAGTGTATTTTATTTATTTATTTTACAGTAATTTGCTCATTCATGATACCAATGACAGACACACATTCCATCCAATCAGACGTAGCGCTCTGGGAGAGCAACGTCCCCGCCAGCCAATGGGATTCTACCTTCTGGTCTGAGCTGTCCAATCACAGGCGGCTATTTCGGGGAAGGGGAGGGCCGTTCTCTCCTTTGGCTTTGCCCAGTCCGGATGTTCCCCCAGTAGCGAACACCGAGCAGCAGTGTGTGAATGTGGCAACCGAGGTAGACAGGGAGGGGTAGATAGACTGACCACACCAAAAGGGGGGGATTTATTTTTTATTTTTTAATTTTTTATT